ATATAAGCACGTATGTATTTTGCATATAATTCACGGTAGATAAGAAATTACATAGGGAAAAAAAGAACAGAAGATGAGAGGCTTTATTTACCGAAAAGCACTTAGGCCATATCTTGTGCTTGAAAAGAAAAGCATCAACATATATATGCACCAGGCATATCTGTTTAAGTGTGAGAAAAATAAATAGAAAAGATTCATGCAGAAATAAATATAGTCCTATCTTCAACATCCTTGAGATTATAAAAAGCAAGGCAAAAGGGCAAGAGGGGAAGAAAATCAGCATCAGGAATGATTTTTATAGTTGCAGTTAAGAGATAAATATTATCAATGTTCAAAAATCTTCCAATATAGCCAACTAATCTCCAAGATGTTTCAGTAATAAAAGCTGCATCCAACCTGCAATAACTAAGTAAAAAGTACCAGCCTACTAGTTCTATACTCTTGCCTGGTTCCCACTGCATTCATCATGATAGAGTCCAACATAAATGCTTTCACAAGGTCAAAAATAAATGGAAAAAAAACTCATCAGTAATACCAAGGAGTCTATTAGGGCCAGAGGAGATGAATGAATCATCTTTTGTTACTCTTGCGGAAATAGAATATTATAATTAATGGAAAAAAACTGCATCTATTTCATGCATATAACATGAATTCCAGGGGAACCAAGACATATTTGACAAATTGGGCATCACACATAACATGCTTATTAATTCATAAATTAAAAACACATTTTGTTACCCCATCAAAAGAAACTTTGCTTGTTATTCTCTCCCTCAGTAATCATTTTTTAAATCACTGAACCTGTAGAGAGTTTCACATTTTAGAAGAAAATCATAAAGGACTCTGCATCCATCTCAGGCCATCATGCTTCTCTGCATTTCAGATTGAGCTGAAGTTTCTAATTGAAATGATTTTTCATGAGTTAAACTATAGAAGAGAAATAAGTGATACATTTAAATTATTTATTCAGCTTATTTATAATTAATTAGGTTTTTCTCTATGCACAGTCAGGCTATGCTAGAATGTTTGATTTTTAAAACTTTCTCTATCATCAAGCAACAATGGATGACTGGTTTTCTCTTGTCACTCTCATTTCAGTTTGCTCTAGGGATCCTTACAACTCCCATTCACATCTTGGTTGACTCTAATGTATTAACTCTTTCAAGCCACAAATGTTGGCCTTTTTTTTTTTTTAAGTGACAAAATTATGTAGCAGACTGTATATGCACAAACTCTTTCTAGGTGTAGAGATGAGGAGGCATAAGCTGGGATCAACCCCAGCAGAACACAAGTCTTTTCTTCTTCTCTCCACTAAAAGACAACAGAAAGAGACAGTTTCTTAACCAGGGTACAGTCCCCAGATCATTTCTGGTTTGGGGCAAGATGAGCAATTTCTTTTCTTCACAGGAGGGGCACAAATAAAGGAAAGAAGAATAATTGACTACAAAATTCAGCACAGAAGGCACCAAAAGAGGAAAAAGAAAAAAAAAAAAAAAAAGGTAACTACATCTTACAGAAACTAGACATGGGGAAACCTCAGAAAAGACAAAGTTTTGCAGAACAGCTTTTTTGATAATCATTTGCAGAGCTGCTCCCTTAAGAGGATACTTTTAAACTCTTAAGTTTGCTTCTTTACTGAGTGTCCTACGCAGCATTTGAACTAGAGCAGTAGTTTCTGTGTCTATCTGCACTATCACAAAAACAAAAAATACTCACCTCTAACCAAAACACATCCCTGCTACCATCACCTTTTTCACATAGCTCCTAAACACCAGGTGTAAGAAAAGGTGGTCAGTTAAGTATCACAGCACCACAGAGTGGTTGAGGTTGGAAGGGACCTCTGGAGACCACTTAGTCCAATCGCCTGTTCCAGTAGGGTCACCTAGAGCACGTGGCATAGGGTCGCATCCAAGTGGGTTTTTAGTATCTCCAGAGAAGGGGACTCCACAACCTCTCCAGGCAGCCTGCTCCAGTGCTCTGCCACCCTCAGCTGTCAAGTTTTTCTTTGCATTCAGATAGTGCTTCCTGTGCTTCAGTTTGTGTCCGCTGCCTCTTGTCCTATCACTGAAAATAGTCTGGCCCCATCCTCTTGACTCCCTCAAGATACTTGTATACACTGATATGATCCCCTCTCAACCTGTTCTTCTTTAGGCTAAACAGGCCCAGCTCTCTCAGTCTCTCCTCATATGGGAGATGCTCCACTCCCTTAATCACCTTCATAGCCCTATCACAGAAT